AAATGATTTATCATGCCATCATGTAGCCAACATTCAATTCTTAACTTTGAAAAAAAACCCCTAGTTTAAAAATATTGCTGAAATATTAATTTATGTTTCAAAATCCATCAATAGTCTTTCTGCAGACAAGTACAACAAAGAGAAATGACAGTCTGGGCTCAATGATATTACAGTTAAGAAACAAAGTCATCAAGACACAGTTCATTTCATCATGAGTTCATTACTCTGCTCTAACTATCTACAGGAAAATACAAAGTCTAGAAGCTTTCTATTCTGACCTAATACCAATTTAGATGTAAAACTCCCGGTCAGGTATAGTGATGCATCCAGCACCCAGGAAGGAGAGGCACGAAGATCTCTGTGAGTTCTAGGCCAGACTTGCAGTGAGTTCCAGGACAACCAGGACTATGTAGAGAAACCCTATCTCTAAAATAAAATAAAAAATAAAGAAAATTCCCATGCCCTATAGTTAACTTCAGAAGCCAAAGAATTTAGAAATTTTGAAATGTAATAACAATATTCAAAGCTCTTTCTGTTTTGAGATATCAATGAAGCAATTCATGTGACATAAAAGTCCCAGCAGTTTGTACAGTTAGTTTAAGAAATCCTGAGAGAGCCAGCAGGGATGGTCGTGTCCCAGTAATTGGGGGGCAGAGGCAGGCAGATCTCTGTGAGTTCAAGGCCAGCCTGGTCTATAGAGTAAGTTCCGGAGTAGCCAGAGATACACAGAGAAATCTTGTCTCGAAAGAAATAAAAAAAGAAATCCTATCCTAAGAGCACTTTAGCAAGTGTTAAAGTTAATGTGATACTTCATATTGCTTCCCATTCCTACAAGCATGACCAAATTCAGTTTTCAATTAGTGAACTAGGTAACAATCCACTTGCGGGCAACATTAGAAATCAACAACAGTTCATCATTTTGGACCTTCAATTAAGAAAAACACTGTACATTAATGACTTCCTCTACTACAACAGGTAGAGGCAGCTGGTTTTCATGTTGTGATACAGCTCCTATTTTTATTTACGTAGCTCCCTCAACTTTCAGTGAGGCCTGTATTTATAAAACCACATTTTCATATACTGATTGCATGCTGCCAGTGGTAATTTTATTTAATCTTCAGAAACTTCAGTATTACCAAGTACAAAGTCAACAGCACATCCAAAAGAGGCCAAGGAAAGTGTATACATAGAGATTTCCTCTTGCAACTCACAGCTCACTACTCAGCATGAATGACTTTCCAAAGTTCCTTTGAGGCCCTGCAGCTTGTGCTCGCCTCTCCAACTTCATTTCTTATTCTCACCTCATTATGCCTTTACCACCCCCAGCTTCCTTCCGTTCAACCACGCCAAGATCTTTCTTGCCTCGCTAAATCCTCCTTGGCTCTTACAAGAAATACTAGGGAACCTCTCCTAGGCAGCTCTAAGACATATCCTTGCCAATCTTATGTACAATGCACCCACTTTTGATTTAACTTTATACAACAGAAAGTAGCAAGATCCCAGCATACTATAGTCCCATGACATCAAAAGTGTGGTCTTTGGACTTCTGGAACCATCTCCAGGATTCATAAGGTGGAAACATCACCAAGTCAGCCACTGTATTATGTTCACATTTGTACAAAAGATGCAAATGCAATGGTAATGCCTGTGTGGGTATTCCTTACAGCAGGTACAAACCAAGCTGTGAATCACTTTATTCTCCATCACCATTCTCACAAAGGGAAAGGGGGCCACTTTCACTTATCACTGTCATTTGAGAACACAGGAAGAGTGATTAAGTTTTTTTGAGTCTTGACCCTTGCACGTCTTTTTAGTGTTTTCCCAAGAGGACCAACAAGATGGCTCAACAGGTAGAGGTGCTTGCTGTGCAAGTCTGAAGGGCCATGAGAAAGTGAAAGGAGACAAGAGACTCCTGAAGGTTGTCCTTTGACTCAACACATGAGCCATAGCAGGTGCATTGCTACAAAAGGTAGTAGTAATAATAATAACTCTGCATGATGAAACAGAATATTTGAGTAACACTTCTGTTACACACAGAAATATGACTGTCTCCAAGAACAGAGTAACTGAGAGACATCTGCACCAGCCACTTTATCACATTTTTTAAAATTTTTTTCAAACAATCTTTTCTAACTTTACATACCAATCCCAGTTCCCTCTCCCTCCCTTCCTCTCGCTTCCCCCCCTCTATCAGATCTTTTTTACTTGGAAGAATAACAACAATCATTAGTTCAAATTCAATGGGGTTTTTAGTGTTGTTGTTGTTTTTAAAGACATTAAGGAAATAAGCACTCAGCTGGGCACAACGGTATTTCATGTAATTTTAGTGCTTGGAAGAGGAGGCAGGGAAGTTTACTGAAAGTTGTAGGCTAGCCTGAGCTAAGACCCTATTTCCCTACTGTCTTCCCACCCTTCTGGGAAGAAAAAAGTCACCAAGTGAAATAAAAATTGGTACTGCAGCGTCAAAATTCCAACTGTTAAGGAAGAAATTGGAATTTTAAAAAGCCCTTTTAACCCCCTTTCAGTGTTACTGGGAATTAACAAGAGCCTAGAACATGCAAGGCAGATAGATGCTCTACCAATTTTTCTGGCCTGTCTTCATTCTGCAGTTACCAGGGCCAGCCTTAAACTTGTGATCCTTCCTCCTCCATTCCCAAGTAGCTGGGATTATGGGCTTGTACCATCAGTCCCAGCCCGGAAGAGTGTTAAAGAAAAAAAATATGTTATATGGGTGGTTTTGCCTGCATGAATACTTGTATATTACATGTGTATACTGCCCAAGGAAGTCATAAGAAGGCATTGAATTCCCTTGGGACTAGTTATAGCCTGTTGCGAGCTGCATGTGGGTGCTGGGACCTCGAACCTAGGTCAGTGTTCTTAAGCACTAAGCCATCTCTCCAGACCCTGGAAAAGCTTTTAACAGCACCTTAATATTGATGACTTCTCTGTAGTTGGTAAAAGTATTAGCAAATGTAATTTTAAAGAATCTGCGTATTAAATGAACAAACATGGAAGTTCTAACAGTAGCCCAAGTTCCACAGCACAGCCAGGTATAAGAGCCACTCAGAGCATAAAGTAGAACAATGTGGTTTAATGCAAAGCAAACAAGGCAACTCAACAATAAGACAGCAGACTGCACACAGTACCAGTCTAAGACCAACCACTATCAGGTGCCAGTGAGATGGATCAGTGCATAAAGAGAAAACCAACTTCCCTAAGATGTCCTCTAACCTCCAAATGTATCCCATGTGCATGGCCTCAAATAAATAGACTAGTAAGACACTGTTGGCTACTACTTACAGAGGTTTAGTGCATACCAAAGATACACGACCATCTCAAAAGTTATTAAAAACTCACCCCTTCCAACTATTCATCTGTTAAAGGTTGATTTTCACCTCATACTGGAATGAAATCAGGAGCAGATGCAAACTTTTTTTTAAAAAAATCAATTCTTAAAAGATTCTTTCATGGGGGCTAGAGAGGTGGCGCAGTGGTTGAGAGCACTTGCTGCTCTTGCAGAGGACCCAGGTTTGATTCTCAGCACCCACACAGTAGCTCACAATCATTTGCAAACTCCAGTCCCAGAGGAATGCCCTCTTATCTTAAAAACACCTGCATGCATGCACGCAAAACACTCACACACAAAATAAATCAATCTTAAAAAAAAAATCGATGCCATCGATGATGGCACGCCTTTTATCCCAGCACTCAGGGGGCAGAGGTAGGAGGATCTCTAGGAGTTCAAGGCCAGCCTGGTCTATAAAGTAAGTTCCTGGATTCTGCTCCTTATCTACTGAGAAACCCTGTCTTGAGAAACAAAACAAAACAAAAATTCTTTAAAATCTGAAAAGTACCCTATGGAAAACTAGTTGATTTACGAGTAGAAACTGGCAAATTAGTCCTACACACAAGGGGCTAAAAAATAGGCAAAACAATTTTGAAAAAAATAAAAAAACAAACCAAAACCCACAAAGATTCCTATGTCCGTACTGACTATGACAGCAGAGTAATGTGAAGGAGACTGTGGGTTGATGTAAGGACAAACAGATCAGCAAAGTTCAGCAGAAGGGAAGATCTCAGAACAAGCCCTGAAGTCCATGCACATTTCATTTTCCACGAAGGGTCTTCTAACAGGCTGAAACAAGTTAGACCCTTCTCTCGCAGCACACATACTAACCTCAAGCAGGTCATAAGCCTCAATGTAGGAGCTGAATATAAAATGTTCAAAAAAGGCAGCACTAAAGCTACACTGTTTGCTGTGAGTTTCCTGGCTATGACACCAAAAGCAAAAAGTGTAAAAGGAAACAGGGAAACTGGAAACACAATTTCACTGTCATAGATGGAAGAAATCGTTTATAAATCATATATACTCTGAGCAGTTAAAGCCATGCAGACAAAGAGAAGGTAAGGATGAAGGCAAATACCAAGCCTCATACACTGCTGCTAGGAATGTAAAGTGAGAGGTTGGGGAAAAGTTTGACAGTTCCTCAAAATGTCAAACAGGGATACCTCAGGTCTCAGCAATTTCATTCCTAGGGAACAACCAAGGAAAATGAAAACAGGAATATTTTACTGGAATGTTTATAACACCATTATTTGAAGAAGCCAAGAAATAAAAACAATTCATATCTCTAATAGAAAAATGTGGTAAACTCACATTAATGGAATATTATTCAGCCACAAATAGGAACAAGGTATCGATATATAATGCAATATAGATTATTATTAGAGATAGGCTAAATGAAAGATGTCAGTCACAAAGTACCATATGTATACTATGCCTTTTACATGAGAGGTCCAGAGTAAGTAAGTAAATAAAAACAGAAGGCAAATTAGTAGTTGCCAGGGGCTGAGTGGTGAGAACTGCTATGAGCACAGGACTTTTTGGTACTTATGGACATCAAAACTGGATCCCCAGAGCTCATGTGGTGGAAGGAAAGAACAACTCCCACATGCTGATGCAGCATGCACGCTTGCCCAGCAAATTAATAAAATAGCAAGTGCTCACTTTGGTACACACGAACTGAAATTGGAACCACACAGAGAAGATTAGCATGGCCCCCGCACATGAATGACACACACATTCATGAAGTGTTCCATATTAAAAAAAAAAAGTTTTAACATCTGGTCATACAAAATCATACTCATAAGTGTGAGCTCTGCTTATTCCTTTATACAGAACAATGAACAGGACTGATAAAGCCTTACAAAAGTGGCCACTATTGGACTACCCTGCTTAGACACAACGCACACTACCAAGTACACACTGGTAGGTTGTGTCCATGGCAAACAGGTTTAAACCATATTTCTTTAAAAACAAAACTACACACACACTAAACATATTTTGTATGGTAAACTCGTGTGTGTGTGTGTGTGTGTGTGTGTGTGCGCAGAGGCTAAAGAAGCAAGGTGTTCTCTTCTATCACTCTCCACCTCCCGACAGGGTCTCACTGGAACTGGAGCTCTCTGCTTTTAGACAGGCAGGTGGCCAGCAAACTCCAGCTAGCTCTCCTCCTGTCTGTCCCCACAAGCTCACCACTGCCTTGCCCAGCTTTTTACAAGGGTTCTGAGATTTGAACTCAGGTCCCCATAGCTGCACAGAAAGCACCCTTACTTGTTGAGTATCCTCCCAGCCCTCACCACAATTTCTTAACAGATTATGTCAGAAAAGAACAAGATAATTTAACGGGACAGAATCTAATGTGACTGTGTACTATTGGGAACTACCGAACATATGATGATACCTTTCCCTATAAGAATCCAACAGCATAGCGTGTTCTGACAAGGTAATCCTTCTACTCTCAGTGAACCAAACCACGGCCACTTGATAAACTTCCACATTCCTATGATCCCATTTCTCCTAGTAATATAAGATTACACACGGCAAAATAAGCTTTTGGAAAGATGGTCTAATGACAAACTAGATTAGCAAACACTCTGGAAGATATTCCAGAGAAAGACTACCAGATTGAAGATAATTTACTTTGACAGTTTTGATTGGCTCCTCACTGTTAAGGACTCCTCAGCTGTAGGAGCAACACGGCACCATGAGGAAGCTGCTGCATGTGGCCACCTCCCTAAAAGCTAGACTGGATTCTAGGTGACACTGAGGTAATGTGTCCTTACAAACTTCCCTACTGCAAACACCAGGAAAAAAACCACAGGGGAAAAACTGCACAATTTTCCCTTTTGGTAAGTTTATCAATGTTTCAACAAATGAAAATTTTGAAAGTCTAATAATAAAACAATCACATTCCAGTTTTTGCTGAAGGCAAACTTAAAAGTCTGTAGCATGATATGTAACAATGCCAAGCAGTCTGGTCGAGAGAACATTTTAAAAAGCATGGTTTCTAGATGAGCCCATTTCTATGCTTTATTATCAATCAACACAACTGCTTAGAATCTCTCTCTCTCTCTCTCTCTCTCTCTCTCTCTCACACACACACACACACACACACACACACGAAACACTGAAATTCCTATACTCTGGCACCAAACACGTTTCTAAGTTCTAAGAAGTCTGAATAGTGGGCAATACCCGGAAAGAGTGGCTAGCAAGTGCAATCATGCTGGCAAAAGGCCAACCCGACTCCTTTGCATAGAATCCAGAAGCTATAAAATATTCCTTTCACATGAAAGTAAACTAAAGTCAAATGCAAAACTGAAAGTAAGGTAGCTTCTCCAAAGTATCTTTTACTTTAATCACTACACTTGAAAACTACTGAGAACAGTATGATATGGAAATACGACACATGGAGGGCACTGAGAATAGGTTGACAGCTCTGCATCCCTCCGCAGGCTAGCACTGCATTAACAAATAGCAGCGGAGAGTAAATGCTTATGAAGAAAAGGCTAAGAGCACACCTATGCCAGACCAGTCTGGGCTTTCACAGACCAGTCTGGGCTAGAGTCCAGGACCACTTGGTTACAGAAGAACCTAAAAATCAGAATGTACCTAAAAAATCAGAATGACTTTCTATTGGACATAAATTCTTTAGCAAAGGATACAAAACACTAAATTTATTTAAATCTATTGTTAGTTCAAACATTTCAAGAGGAGATAAAATCCAGACCTTTAGAACATCCTCTTGGGTTGAAAACAGGTAGCCCAACTACTTGTGACTTATGCCTTGCTCATTCAAGATTGTTATCTTCAAGGAGTTAGCACTCTGTATATTTATCTGATTAGAGGGTGCTCAATCAAGGGCCAGGTTCTATTACGATCCCATTCTCCAAATTTGGAGGGAATTCAGAAAACAAGCAACACTATGGTGATCCAGGCAACCAACAACATTAGATCAGGAGTTCCATACTGATGTTTAGTAAAGGGTCTCAAGACACGGAAACCCGTGTTAATCTAAGGCTGCAATTGTTAAGCAGTCACCGACTCTTCCCCACCCCATTAAGTTCTGTTCCGTGTTACGTTTCCACTCTGGGCACCCCCTCTCACATTGTCTCTAATCTTCCATTCCCTCCCTAAGGATTTTCTCCAGCTCTTAAGGGACGGTGAAAGGATGAGTAAGCAGGCCGAGACATATCTTGGTCAAAGAGCACAGACCCTGGCACCAGCAGCGGAAAGCAGAATAGAAAGCTTCACAGGGAGTCCGTCCAATGGGGACAGCTTTCCTACGGGAGTTAGGGCCACCTCGTTTCTTAATCAGACTTCAATCTACCCCACCTCCCACTTGCTTCTTCTCCACTCCTCGGCGGTCCCTCTTTCAAGTGAATTTTTCTGGAGACAGTAACACCTTTCAAGCAGCACTTAAAGATGAACGTGATATTCCCAGGTTCCGCCGGTCAAAGACAATAAAGCCTCACCCTGCAGCACGGTTAAGTTCAAACGTCCTGTTTCACAAGATGGACCGAATACTACTTGTCTCGACACCGGATCATTCCCCACCCCACCCAAGCCAAGCCCACCTCTATTCGGCAATAAAGGTGACCGCTAGGAGCAACTTCAAATGTGTGTCAACCGCTCGGTGGTGGTGTGGGGGGAAACAAAAGGACTTCTGAATTACTTTAACAGCCTGATTCCGAGTGCCTGGCCTTGTTTCTCCCTAAAGAAAAATAGGACACCGAGAATTCGGAGATGTCTTCCTCGCCTTTACTACTCTGGCCGCCAACAACTACCTAGCGGGCTTCTCAGGGGCTCAGTACAGGTTTCTTCAAGGCAGAAACTTGCCCTCGGTGGCTAAACATCTTGGAAGTTTCCCTGCTTTCTTTAAAAGGTTTAACTTCTCTACAGACGGAAAGGACGCAAGGAGTGGTTTCCTTTGTTGAAATGCCCGGGATGAGTTGAACTGCTGGGAAAAGAGTGTGCTCAGAGAAGGAGGGACAAATGCGGGGACCCGACTAGGCTGTCCCCGGCCGCCTAGAGGCCTGCGGCCCCCGCCACCTGTCCGCCGCGCCCGGGGACAGGGGAAGGCGCCGCCACCTCCACTCAAAATGGAGGTTATGAAACGCGCGCCGCCCGCCCGCCACATGGCCGGGCCGCGTCCTGGGGCTCAGACCCCGGTACCGCCGGGCAGCCACTCACCCACAGACCGGTAGCCCAGGATGGCGATCTTCCGGGACTTGGACTGCGGCATCTTGGCGGCCTGCTCAGCCCCGGCCCAACCACATCAACCGCGGCGGCGGCGGCTCCTCCGGCTCAGACTATCGGCGGCGGGTGCGCCGGGAGAACGCGGCATACAGAGCGCGGCAGCGGGCGCGGCTGCCTGTCGCTGGCTCGTCTCTAGCTCGCTCAACCGCCCGGAACCGACGGCGCGGGCCCTCCCCCAACAACACACCCACGTGACCGCGCGCGGCCGCGTCAGCGCCGCCTCCCGCCGCCGCCTCCCGGCCCGGAACGCGCGGAGAAGGGGGGTGCGCGTCGGGGGAACGTTTTACTTTAAAGGGAGAAAGCGGAGACGCCCCAAGGCCCCCGGAAAAGTCACGACCGAAACTCGCTGCGTCATGACCCTCCCACCTACTTCCGCCGCTTTTTAATTACGACAGTCTTGCCCGCGTTCTGACTGGACGGCTTCCAGACAGCCGCGCGATGACGCAATGGAAACTCCGTCTACCATTGGGGATTATCAGGGGGCGGAGCCAGGGTGAGGCGCTGCTCAGCGGGGAGCTAAAAATAAAATTTGGCTGCGTTTGCGCCGCTGAGCGCCTGCGTGGTTCGAAAGCGTGGCCCTACCGGCGGGTGGGTAGGTGAGCCCGCGGGAAGGTCGTCAATGATTGGCTAATTTGGGCCGTGGGGGCGGAACCAACTGCGAGGAGCGCGGTGATTGGTGAAGTGCAGAGCCGTTGGACGACTTGCGTCTGCTGGCCCTTAAAAGGCTCGAGGCGCGTGGCCCTAGCCGGCTGGCTGTGCGTTGGCACAACCTCTCTTGAATCTTGTTTATTTTTTAAATTATCGTCCTGCCAGGTTAGCGTTAGTCTGGGCTTAATGTGGGTGGTGACTAATCCTTATTCGTGGCTGAGGGACTGTGGGAAGAATGGAATCTGTGCAGATTCCAAATGTCAGAAATTCCATTAAAAGCAGCACGAACTGCCCTGCCGAATCGGACCCAGGAGACCCGCGGGGCGCACCTTGCGTGGAACGGCGTATGCGTGGGAGCCCTGCAGCCAGATCAGCGCGTCTTTCACACGGAACACACAGAAGTTTCTGGAGAAACTTGAAAGTCAGCCATTGTCAAGAAGACTGAGGGAAAGCAGGAGACTTTGCTTTCTGATGTGGGCAGGCCGCGCCTGAAAAGGGAAGGTTGGCATATTTTCTACAAAAGGCGTACTGGCAGAGAGCCCCTTGCCTCCAGAGAACTAGAGAAGAGGAGTTAGGACATCCTCATGTTAAAAAGCAGGAAGGAAAGACAGTGTCTAGGCCTAGTTCATGGAAGCCCGAGTTGAAAGCTAGGCTTGGAAGAAGATACCAAGAACAGCATGCTTTGTCCTTCATGATAGACTTATTTTTAGGGTCTCATGTAGCCCACCTGGAATTCTTAGCAATCCATCTGCCTCTGCCTCCCTAGTGCTGGGATTAAAGGTTGCCCCACCACCTTGAGCTGATTGTCCTATCTTTACCCAGGTGCTAGGATACAGGCTACCAAACCATGTCTATT